AAAAAAAAAAAAAAAAATTACTCTTTGGATTTCATGATACATTTCCCTGCATGTTGCATGAAGGCCTCTGTACATGTTATTTCTCTACTGAGTGTATTACACACTTAGAGTAAGTCCTTTGGTGTCACCAAAATTCAGATTATTCCTCTACTATAGTACTCTTAACTCCAGGAAATGAGAATCCAAAGCATCTTCAGAAGAGGTATACAAAGAATTGTCCCCAAATGATGATTTCATCTCTTACAGAATTAACATTTATGGTCTGACCTTATATGTCCAACAAAACCTCAGTTGATCAGAATGCTCAAGGATTATTAAACATGAGTAGGAGACATACTTAACAAAACTTAATAATCACCTTGGAGCAGGAAACAATCTTTTGTCTTTAAATGTGCCACTTCTCTGAACCTCATCAATGATAACAGCCATTACCTCATATTCTTTTTCACTCCAGTAATATGTGCATTTAGGCAGAAAGCATGTTCACCTACATTTTGTCTCTGCAGGTGCTTTACTGCATGAACTGTCTAATGACGGTGCTCATAAGCAGTTTGACCACTACCTCGAAGAGCTGATCTTGCCCATCATGGTGGGCTGTGCCAAGAAAGGAGAGCGAGAGTGTCACATTGTTGTGCTGACGGATGAGGATTCTGTGGACTGGGATGAAGACCACCCTCCACCAATGGGGGAGGAATATTCCCAAAGTAGGAGCTTCCGGCATGGTGTAGATGTTTTCAGCAAGAAACTCGCTACCTGGGGTGGCAGCTTGATCCTAGAACCAGTGTGAATATCAAAGTTGAGCCTGTGATGAGCACACTCACCTGGATGACAAATCCCTAGTGATGCAGGTCTAACCTTTATGCTGGGGAACACAGTGAATGTTGTTATACCATTCACCTCTTTCTCTGGTGTCTTGTACTGTGTAACATACTGAGGCAGCACATTCAATGATGGTGTCATTCTTTTAATTCATTTCATTTTTAAATCCTTTTTAATTGGTAATAATTCAAAATTCAAAAAAGCATAAAAGTATATACACTTAAAAAGTCTTATTCTCACTCCTGCCCCATCTATCCCATTCTCTTCCTCAATTTGTTTTATAGGCTTCCAACTATATTCAGTGTACATACATAATCAATTACTTGTTTTCTCCTCCTCTTTCAAATGTACCATGTCATACAACTGTTCTGTGCCGTGTGTTAACATAAAAATCTTCAGCATTCTTTTTTGTGTCTCTATAGTATTCCCTTGCACAAATGTGCCGTAATTGATTTAACCAGTCCTGTTATTGGACATTTAAACTATTGGCAGAGTGCAGTGGCTCACGCCTGTAATCCCAGCCCTTGGGGAGGCTGAGGTGGGCAGATTGTTAGAGGTCAGGAGTTCAAGACCAGCCTGGCCTGAACATAGCGAAACCCCATCTCTACTAAAAATACAAAAATTAGCTGGGCAAGGTGGCACATGCCTGTAACCTAGCTATTCAGGAGGCTGAGACAGGAGAATCGCTTGAACTTGGGAGGCAGAGGTTGCAGTGAGCCAAGATCACACCATTGCACTCCAGCCTGGGTGACAGAGCTAGAATCTGTCTCAAAAAAAAAGATTTTTGTGGCTTTATAATTTTGATAGATGTTGCCAAATTATCCTCCATAAAAGTTGTACCAATTTACACTCACAAAACAGTACATGACAGGTTTCTTTCCATTGTTTCCACCCCCCTACCAAAACAGTGGCTTTTTTTTTTTTCTTTTTTGAGACAGAGTCTCTCTCTATTGCCCAGGCTGGAGTGCAATGGCATGATCTCGACTCAGTGAAACCTCTGCCTCTCAGGTTCAAGTGATTCTCATGCCTCAGCCTCCCGAGTAGCTGGGACTGACTACAGGTGCGTGCCACCACACCCGGCTAATTTTTGTATTATTAGTAGAGATGGGGTTTCACCATGTTGCCCAGGCTGGTCTTGAACTCCTGACCTCAAGTGATCCACCCGCCTTGGCCTCCCAAAGTGCTAGGATTACAGGAGTGGGCCACCATGCCTGGCCAACAGTGGCTTGAAAAAAATTTTTTTTCAGATAGAAGCTTGCTCTTTCACTCAGGCTGGAGTGCAGTGGTACAGTCATGGCTCACTGTGGCCTCGAACACCTGGTCTCAAGTGATTCTCCCACCTCAGCCTCCAAGTAGCTTGGACTGCCGGTGTGTGCCACCACGACTGGCTGATTTTTTTTTTTTTTTTAATTTGTGTAGAGATGGGGTCTCACTATGTTGCTTTGCCTAGGCTGGTCTCAAACTCCTGGCCTCAAGCCATCTTCCTACATTGGCCACCCGAAGTGTTGGGATTATAGCTATAAGCCACCATGCCTGGCCCCAAGACAGTATTTTTTTAAAACTTTTATCTTTGCTAATTTCTTTTTTTTTTTTTTTTTTGAGACGGAGTTTCGCTCTTGTTACCCAGGCTGGAGTGCAATGGCACGATCTCGGCTCACCGCAACCTCCGTCTCCCGGGTTCAGGCAATTCTCCTGCCTCAGCCTCCGGAGTAGCTGGGATTACAGGCACGCGCCACCATGCCCAGCTAATTTTTTTTGTATTTTTTTTTTTTTTTAGTAGAGACGGGGTTTCACCATGTTGACCAGGATGGTCTCGATCTCTTGACCTCGTGATCCACCCGCCTCGGCCTCCCAAAGTGCTGGGATTACAGGCTTGAGCCACCGCGCCCAGCCTGCTAATTTCTTAATAGGTAAAGAAACTGCAGCAGCTCATGATTGGCATGAGTTTTAATTACATTTCTTATTTCATAAGTGAATCTGAAAAAGAAATCTTTTTTTTTTTTTTTTTTTGAGATGGAGTCTCCTTCTGTTGCCTAGGCTGGAGTGCAGTGGTGGGATCTCAGCTCACTGCAACTTCCGCCTCCCGGGTTCAAGTGGTTCTTCCGCCTCAGCCTCCAGAGTAGCTGGGATAAGAGACCACCCACCACCATGCCTGTCTGAGTTTTGTATTTTTAGTAGAGACGGGGTTTCACCATGTTGGCCAGGCTGGTCTCCAGCTCCTGACCTCAACTGATCTGACTGCCTAAGCCTCCCAAAGTGCTGGAAATACAGGTGTAAGCCACTGTGCCAAGACAAAACCTTTTTAGTTTTCAAGAGCCATTGTAATTTCCATTTTTGTTCATGGTGTTTGTGCCTTTTGTCCATTACGAAATCAGATTGTTAGTCTTTTACTTAGTGATTTGTGAAAGCTCTATTTGTGGCAGCTCTTTCTAATTAAAGAAATCAGCCTTTTATGAGTTGCAAATATTTTTTCATTCAGTTGTCTTTTTAGCTTTGGTAAATGGTGGTTTAGGCTATGCAGAGATGTTATATTTCTATAATAATCAGTTTTATGGCTTCTGCATTTAATGTTGTACCCAGAAAGTCCCCAGCCTGAGACTATAAAAATTTCTCTTATGGTTTATGTACTATTTATCATTTAATCTTTGATCCATCTGGATTTTTTGGCATTAGTGGTCAAGTATATCTTTCATTAGTTTGATTGTGTTACCTTATCTCTTTCCTCTTAGGTCTTCACTCCATGGTATTTTTTCTTTTTCAGTTCTTTATAGCTCCAAGCTCTACAGATTCTTCAAATATATTGAGAATCGGGATGTTGCAAAAACAGTGTTAAAGGAACGGGGCCTGAAAAACATTCGCATTGGAATTGAAGGTAAAAAAAAAAAGTCCCAGTCAATATTCAGGTTGGGTCTATGGCCACAGCTTATGTCCTGAAAATTTAGTTTCCAGAGGACCTAGAAAATAGGCATACATGAAAACCACATTCTTACTCAAGTTTGAAGGGTTTCTGTTTTTGTCCTCAGTTTTCATTTTATCTGCAGTTAAAAATGGTTTAAAACAGCCACAGAAACAAGTTCAAATTTACTAATTCAGGATAAAGAGCAGTGAGGGAAAGGACACTGGTAGAAAGAGATACAGCAGGGCTTGTGGGCTCACCAGGTGAGAGCATCGTTCTGCCACCAGTCTTGAAGATGTTTCTGGCATCTGGAAGGGTCCTTCTGAAAAAAGAGCTTGGGGACTCAAAATTTAAGATTATTCCATGCCTTCGAGGAATGTCTGTATCTATTAACAGAACTACTTTGAATGATCTTGAGCAGTGGCTCCAAACCTGTGGTCCCCATGGAAGGCTCTCAAGAGACTTGACTCCTGGAGAGTGCTAAAGCCATTAGCCATCTGGTCTGCCCTGTATGGATCTTTGTTTGACTCTTGTGCTTTGCTACTCTTGCTGCCTCACTTCTGCTCCTACAACCCATCAAACCTTCATTGTGTCTGACTTAAGTTGACTTTAAAGTTGGAAGACATTCTTTTTTTTAAGAGATAGGGTTTCACTCTCGCTCACACTGGAGTACAGTGACACAATCATGGCTCACTGCAGCCTTGACGTCCTGGGCTCAAGTGGTCCTCCTGCCTCAGTCTCCCAGGTAGCAGAGACCACAGGCACATACCACTATGCTGCAATATATATATATATATTTTAACCTTTTTTCTAAGAGATGAGGTCTCCTTCTTTGGCCCAGGCTGGTTTTGAACTCCTGCACTCAAGCAGTCCTCCCGCCTTGGCCTCCCAAAGTGCTAGGATGACAGATGTGAGCCACAGTGCCCAGCCTTGGAAGACGTTTTTGAAGATTATCTATTAAACCTCCTCCTCTGTCTTTCCCTTGTCAGGTACATTTCCCAGAACAACCCATTGAGCTATTTTACCATTAGAACCTTCTGCCATACATACTTAATAGATAACTGCCTCCCTCTCCTGCTTGTCTTCTCATTCATAGCCTCTGAAGCTACTTTGACTATTTCTCCTGTTTCCATGTGACAGCCTTTCACATATTTTAGGCAGCATCTCTGTTTTTTCTTTAGGCTAAACATCCCACATTTCCTTAACTGTTTATCATTTAGTATGTCCTCTGTCCAACAGAATTCAGAGGACTAGAGTAGCCATGCCTCAGGAGGATTTTTGTTCCATGGTATTGTTACCAGCAACAGCAGGTTCCTGAACTAGTAAGAGGCTTCTCTCCTTTTTCCATTAGAAGGGATAGAATTTTTGTTACCCCTCAGTTAGTCCCTTCTAAGGACAAGACCTACTAATCTGAGCAGCAAGGAAGTGAACATGTAGGTGCTTGGGGCTGAGAGAGCATGCAGCAGGGACTAGTCACTTCTCACGTATTTTTCAGGCTATGATTTTGGGAGAAAAGTGATGTGGTTAGGAAGGAGAAAATATGGACACCAGAGTGAGCACAATTTGTCAGTCATGAGAATGGCCTTTTTCTGTTGCAGGTTACCCTACCTGTAAAGAAAAAATTAAGAGAAGACCTGGCGGCCGGTCTGAAGTCATCTATAATTATGTGCAACGCCCCTTCATCCAGATGTCGTGGGAAAAAGAAGAAGGAAAGAGTCGCCATGTGGATTTTCAGTGTGTTCGAAGCAAATCCCTCACGAATCTGGTAGCTGCTGGAGAAGATGTCTTGGAGGACCAGGAGATATTAATGCATCACCCACCACAAGTGGATGAACTTGACCGGCTAAATGCCCCACTTTCTCAGATGGCTTCTAATGACTTTCAGGATTAGGGCCAGCTGTGGGTCTACCCCTTGTCAGACCCCATCTCACCCGAGATACCTGCAGCCAGCCCTCCCTCATGATTTGTCTCACCCTGAGTAGAAGACATGCTTCTCCGCTATCCTTTTCCTTTCTCCCATGATTAACATGTGTCCTTTTCAGTAAGTCTGTGCCTCTGGCAGGGGATGAAGTACTCACTGGTGAATTAGCCACCATCTTTGCAGAAGCCCTGGTAACTTGAAAAATTTGGGTCTGGTGCTGTTCACTGAGTCTTTGTGTAACTGCAAAAGCAGGAAAGGAATTCAAGACTCCTGTTGCCTCGTGTTTAGCAAAGCAGTCCTCATCCTTTTTAGTCTGTTCTTGGGTTTTTTTGTTTTATACCAGGCAAATTGCTTAGTAGCAAAGGGACCAAACTTAAAAGGTGACAATCCCTAACTTCTAAAAGCAGGCACCAGATGCTCATTAGAGGTTAATCAAGATGCCATTCTTGGAGGCCTCTGCACCCAAATTGCATCTGGAAAGAACTATAGGCTCCCATTCAGAATGTCCAAAAGGAAATTCTCAAGAGCTTAAATTCAGATTTCTCATTAATGCAATGAAAAATTCAAAACCACACAGATTCTTTGGCAGGAAGGATAATGGAATAACAATGTTGAGGAGACCTTTTTAGCTTCAAGGTTTTGGAATCTAAACAATTTGATGATTCATTTGGAATGAAACAACTCAAGTAGAAGAACCTCTCCAAATCAGGCCAATTGGATTATCCTGGCTTGGAATCTGTTGTGAAACCACAGATCTTGACACTCTGGGGCAGCACATTGCTGTGGATGTGGCTAGGAGACCTTAGAATGGCTTAAAGGCTTTCAAGATGACAGCAGAAATGTCTCAGAAGTGCCCAGTTTCTCAATAGAAAGACTTAAGAGTTCCAGCCGGGGGTGTCTGGAGTAAAGCTGGGTGGGAACCATCATCTGCACAGTCCCTGTCCTGGTGCAGGATTTTCCTCTGCGTGTTTTCTTTTCATATCATGGGATTTTTGGATATCTGTGTATTTTGGTTTTTGAAATAGCCTAATAGCTGCTCACACACTGGGTAAGAAAATTATACCAATGTCATCCCCAAGCGAAGAGTGAGTTGAAGGGAAATTGAGCCCAGTCATTTTATGTGATCTGTCAGCTCTGTTATCAGTGCGTTCTCACCCAGATCACCCTCCCCAGTCCCCACAGTGCTGAACCACCTTCCTCTTCTCCATGGCTATTAATAGTATGGTTACATTTAGAGTCCAGACCCAAATACAAATATTTTGGGATTATCCCACAGTTTGTGATAGAAGCTGACTGGAATACAGGTTGAGTATCTCTTATCCAAAATGCTTGGGACCAGAAATGTTTCAGGTTTCAGGTATTTTTCAGATTTTTGAATATTTGCAGAATACTTAACAGCTGAACACCCCAAATCTGAAAAGCTTTTGAACATCATGTTGACACTCAAAAAACTGGATTTTGGAGCATTTCAGATTTCAAATTTTTGAATTTGGGATGCTTACCCTGTGTGAGAGGCTACTTGATTCCATTTAATGACTGTCCCAGTTATAATCATCCAAAGATAAAAGCCGGGTAGATGTTGAAAGCTCTTTCCAGGATTGAAGAAGAGCGTTCTTATGTCTCTTACGTGATTAGCATCACAGTAGGAATAAATGCTCTGTTCTTCACTAGGAAGTTGAGCGATCCCCCACATGACAACCATTGGCATCCATTTGCAAGGCTGATGGCCTGGATTAAGGGTTAGGATTATTTGTAGCTAGAAGGTAGTTTTATTTCCGTGAAACTAGTTGGTTCATATTTGAGGTCAGGTTTGGCCCTGACCTTACCAGTACCACATTTATACCCACTACCAGTTGACTAGCCCAGATAATTGTTAAATGGTGCTTCCTTTCTGCTTCTCAGAAGACTTCCATGCCGTTACAAAGGAAATTTGAATTACCTAGTGTTTGTATATTCCATAAGTATGTGTAACTTCTGTTATACAGCTTATGTACTGTTCACATTTAAGTGTAAACATGCCACAGCTAACACTTAAAAATGAAAACTAGTTCTTCCTCAGGGGAAAAAAAAAAGATAGGAAGTATGGCATGTACTTGATAGTGTTCTGTGTAACCCTTGACTTTGCTCAGGCTTTCAAGATTGAAGTCCTTTTTCCCCCAACTTAACATGCATTTGGCCCCAACCTGTGGGGTTTCAGTAAGCTTGAAATCTGTGAAGGCAGGTCTTCTAGTCACGAGGTGGTGGTGACTAAAGGAAAAGCTTGGACCACAGGTTCCTTCTGGTGAAGAGGAAGGTTTATTTCTATGCCCCTCCCACAACCCTCCACGTGGAGCTCACCCAAGCCTGCTCCATTCCTGGGGCAGTACAAAAAGCAGGACCTCTCAGACCTCACAGAAACAAGGGCTGGGTTGAGGTCATCCCCTTCAGAGTTGGTTACTGACCAGATGGGCAAGAGGCATTTCTAATTCTAAAAAGGTGGAACTTGGGTTTGGTGTTTTCTTCTAAGTGCCTAAATAAGCAAGCCAGGCTGTTTATACAGAAACATTTTCATAAGAAGATGGTTTTAGCCAGAGTACCTTACTCAGATCATCTCAGCAAGCCATGATTAACTTGAATCTGAGGTTTAGAATCTTGAATTTGCATCTGCAGCATGTCACGCAGGGTCAATGAGGAAACATTTGCCACTCAGGAGTTGGAGGGAGAGCAAGAGGACAGTGTTAAGATGTGTCAGATCATTTAATGGTTTCTCCTAAGCTAAGCCCTGGAAAAATATTTGAAAGAACGGCAGCAAAAAGGATAAGAAAGTAAGCTACATTTACTGCACAATATGCAATAGCCAGTACTACTATAAATCACAAGAGAACAGTATGATGTTTAATATATACTGGTCTATGAAAATACTGTGGAATACGCCCAGGAAGGTTAGATGTGTTTGCAGGTAGTGTCCCAAGGGTCCCCCTCTAAGTAAAAGAAATATTCAGACCACAGGCTTTAATGTAAACTCATAAAGTGGAACATGGAGGATTTTTTTTTAAAGTGTCAATCAAAGTTAAAAAGGTTTTTGGCCAGGCGCAGTGGCTCACGCCTGTAATCCCAGCACTTTGGGAGGCCGAGGCGGGCAGATCACCTAAGGTCAGGAGTTTAAGAGCAGCCTGGGCCGGGCACAGTGGCTCATGCCTGTAATCCCAGCACTTTGGAGGCCGAGGTGGGCAGATCACAAGGTCAAGAGATCGAGACCATCCCGGCCAACATGGTGAAACCCCGTCTCTACTTAAAAAAATACAAAAAATTAGCTGGGCATGGTGGTGCGCGCCTGTAGTCCCAGCTACTCGGGAGGTTGAGGCAGGAGAATTGCTTGAACCCTGGAGGCAGAGGTTGCAGTGAGCCGAGATAGCGCCACTGCACTCCAGCCTGGCGCCTGGCGACAGACTGAGACTCTGTCTCAAAAAAAAAAAGAGCAGCCTGGCCATTATGGTGAAACCCCATCTACTAAAAATACAAAAAAGTTAGCTGGCTGTGGTGGCAGGCACCTATAGTCCCAGCTGCTCGGGAGGCTGAGGCAGGGGAATCACTTGAACCTGGGAGGTGGAGGTTGCAGTGAGCTGAGATTGCACCATTGCACTCCAGCCTGGGCAACAGAGCAAGACTATCTCAAAAAAGAAAAAAATCAAGGATTTTGGTTGGGTGCAGTGGCTCATGCTTGTAACACCAGCACTTTGGGAGGCCAAGGGGGGATCACTTGAGGCCAAGAGTTTGAGACTGGCCTGGGCAACAAAAAAATAGCCAGGCATGGTGGTGCATACCTGTAGTCCCAGCTTCTCAAGAAGCTGAGGCAGAATAATTGCTTGAGCCCAGGAGGATGAGGCTGCAGTGAGCCATAATCACACCACTGCACTCCAGCCTGGATGACAGAGCAAGACCCTGTCTCAAAAAACATTTTAAGTCAAGGGTTTGTAGTAACATATATTCAATGCCACTTGTTGCCATCACTTTGCAGTTGTTGAAATGGGCAAACTGAGCTCAGAAAGCAAATCTGATGCCTTCATGGGAGATGGAGCCACATTTGTGTTCTGGGTGGGATCACTTGTGCAGGAGAACATTATTTTCTCCTGAAGGCAAGATGCTTGTAGGTTTTGCCTCTTTACTTTGTATTTACTTTTAAAATTGCACTTGTTCACCTACCAGTGTTTATGAAATCCTATATTGGGGATGCTTTTTCTATAATAAAATATTATCATTTATGTGTCTTTTTTTTAGCAGAAAGTAAAATTAGAAATCAAGATGTTGGGCCAGGCACGGTGGCTGTGACTCACGCCTGTAATCCCAGCACTTTGGGAGGTCAAAGCAGGTAGATCATGTGAGGTCAGGAGTTTAAGACCAGCCTAGCCAACGTGGCGAAAACCCATCTCTACTAAAAATACAAAAACTAGACAGGTGTGGTGGCACATGCTTGTAGTCCCAGGTACTTGGAGGGCTGAGGCAGAAGAATTGCTTGAACCCATGAGGCGGAAGCTGCAGTAAGCCGAGATTGCGCCACTGTACTCCAGCCTGAGCAACAGAGCGAGAATCCGTCTCAAAAAAGTAGATAGGTCTTTGAAGACCTCACTACCAAAGTGGTAGTTGAAGCCACAGTATGGTGAAGATCACCAAGAGCTCACATGACAAGAGGGCAAAGGCACCAGCACCAACATTTAAGTGACAGGCAGAGGAACTAGTAAGAAGGAAGTCAGGGAGGTGTGAGGAGAGTTAGTTTGTTTTAGAGGTTAACAGTGTGAATGCAGCAGATCAAAATGAGGACTGAAGGGAACCCAATGGATATAGCAGAACACCAGTGACCAGAGGAGTGATATAAATACAAGCATGTTTTACACAGAGGATAGTTTACATTTCACACACACGGCAGAAACTAGAGCGGCATGGATTAAAGTAGGGAGGTGGGAAATGAAGTAAAAGTGACTGCAGGGTGTTCCTTATGCTTTTCACGAAGTAGTACCTATTCACAGACCCATGCCTCCCCAACACAGGAGCATACTGACCAGCCTATAAAACCCTGCACTGCTCACTTTTTCCCTTCTGCCGAATCACTGCTGCCTAAATAAAAACATCTCTGGGAAGCTTCACTAAGCTACTCACAACTCTAGGTTGGCTCGTCAGCACTGTTACGTCGACGCTAATGTAGTAAGGTGATGCTACATTCCATTAAGCCACTTGGGAATTCTCTCAAACTGATCTGCAATTCAGAACCACGGTCAGCTCCCTGTTGCCTCACCAGACTGCCTGGAATTGAGTCTGTACGTCACAGATGCTTCAACGTTGCTTGGGCAAGGTATTTTTCTCTGGAAATGTGCGTGGAAAAGCATCACAAAGGCCATTTTTGTCAGTGATGGCTTTGGTGGATCATCCCAGGGAAATATGTTATGTAGGAAATGAAAATAACATTCACTGAATCCTTCTAAGTTCGTTAAAAACAACACTTGGGTTACGCAGGAGCCCAGGAGAATCAGGACTAGGCGATCTACAAAAGTGCTTTCCAAGGAAATAATCCCGACAAAAAGCATTACCAACTGATGAGAGGGGGGAACTCCTATTAGGCCATATAAATGAGTTTTGAAATTGGCAATCTGTTTTGCAGAACCTGAGTACAATCCTGAAAGAATTCATGTGAATCTTACTTTTGACATTTTTTGGGTTTCTCTGAGACAGAGTCTCGGGCTGGAGTGCAGTGACACAATCTCAGCTCCCCACAACCTCCACCTCCCAGGCTCAAGTGATTCTCCCACCTCAGCCTCCTGAGCAGCTGGGACTACAGACACGTGCCACCATGCTAATTTTTTTTGTATTTTTGGTAGAGACAGGGGTTTGCCATGTTGCCCAGGTTGTTCTTGAACTAACTGGGCTCAAGCAATCCACTCACTTCAGCCTCCCAAAGTGCTAGGATTAACACGTGAGCCATCATGCCCAGCCCTCTGAAAGTAATTCCAAGAGCAACAATGGATCAAGCTGGTATCCACCCATCAACACTCAGAAAAGTAGTGTAGATAATTTAGATATGGCGGAAGGGGGTACTAAATAAATGCCAATTAACCAAGCCACCTAAAAAGAAACAGGTACAAAGCCGGGCGCGGTGGCTCAAGCCTGTAATCCCAGCACTTTGGGAGGCTGAGGCGGGTGGATCACGAGGTCAAGAGATCAAGACCATCCTGGTCAAAATGGTGAAACCCCGTCTCTACTAAAAATACAAAAAATTAGCTGGGCTTGGTGGTGCGTGCCTGTAATCCCAGCTACTCAGGAGGCTGAAGCAGGAGAATTGCCTGAACCCAGGAGGCGGAGGTTGCGGTGAGCCGAGATCGCGCCATCGCACTCCAGCCTGGGTAACAAGAGCGAAACTCCGTCCAAAAAAAAAAAAAAAAAGAGGTACTAAAGACAATTGTGACACATTCCTGAATTGGGAGACTGAATGATATGATTTTGGCTTCATTTTAGTATGCAGTACAGTTATATATTATTTTCTAACTCCTCCAATGAGAGTAGGAAACAATTTCTGCGAACAGGATCAACACTGAGCCAGTGTCGCCCAATATGTTTCTTGGGATTCATACGCCTTAGAAAGACATCACCCATTCTGGCTGCATTTAGCTTCCTCTGCCTTCTGTTTCTACTCTGGCTGGTCTTTGCCCCTCCCTTCTTGACTCTGAGGTGCTTTTCCCTACCCAGATGAGGGGTTAACAAGTGGGACACATGGGACTCCTCCAATAAACAACATTTCAGAGCCTGCTCTGATGGACACAAAGAGCTGAACAATTCCATCTTATGAGCTCATGAGATTCCTGGTCGACTGCAGGCTGGGAAAAAACGGGGCTGGGCTGTAAAGAGCCGTACAAAAGGTCCACCAGCTGACAGCACTTTTGTCAGGATGCGTCCTTGGCCATACTGTGTGGGGAGGGCCCACTGTCTTGCAATACAGAGGTAAGTGGAAGAAGCGCATGCAGTGGGGGCAAGAGAAGTCTCTTCATATGGACAGTGATTCCAGAGACTAGCTCCCTCAGAACAAAAGTCAGTCCCAGCTTCCCTGAGATGGATAAGCACTTTGCATGAAGACGGTGATACAGTTTCGAAATTAACACTTAAAATTAGGCATTCTAATAGTTTGTGGACAAAGGGGTTAAAACAGCCACCAGCACTCTGCCTCTAAGTTATAAGCCACTATTTGCTTTAAATCACATCACAGTCCCTTCTCAGCCTTTTTGCCAAAATCAAATGCAGTATCTGTTCTTATCAGTTCAATAAATCACACCACAGATTTCCACTACTGTTTTCACACAGTTTATTCAGAAGTTTAAAAGTTAAAATGTGGGCATTTTCCCGTAAAACAAATCATCCCCTGCCACTCCCCAACAAAAAGACTCTCCTAACACTGCAGTTACTTCTCTTTACCCAGGCTTACCACACACTTGCAGAACACACAGGAGTCAACACCCCAACTATTTGGTAATACAAAGAGACTACAAAGTTACACAAAAGAATCTCATTTACTCCTTTTCACTAGCAGGCTATGAATGAAAGATTGAGAGGCAAACATATCATCTTCATCCAAGAGTTGAGACTTCCCTAACCTTTTTTCTTCCTTGAAGAGGTTAAAACCCAAAGCAGTTTCACTGACAACTGTAACTGATACTCCATTTTTCTTTTCTGAATGGCTAAGCTAGGAGATACTTTCCTTTCAAAGCTGATCTTCACAACCTCAAGACTGGCAGAAAGCAGGCTCCCAGCTGCAGCTCGGCCACAATGCTCTGCAATAGGCAAAATTCCCACACAGGTGCAAATGATGCTTTAAGAGTTATCAAAACTTTTTTAAAAAGTAATAATGCATTAATATGGAGCCTCCACATTTTTCTGACAAAATTTCTCTAAAGGTGGTGGCAGCTGTGAAACAGAAGGCACTTTGTGCTAAAATTCAGTCTCTTATGAGAGAACGCCACAGCAGAGACACCCAATCTGCCTAACTTGCAGGCGACCCTTTAGGGTGGGGAGAAGTATCCTCCAGGAAGGCATCTGCAAAAGGAAAAAACTGTAATCATGATTCCAAGGCAAAATGGCTAAAGTTGGGAGAGAAGAAATACCGAGAGAAGAGACAAAACATGGTTGCACCAAGGACTGAGGAGTGAACTTTACAAGGACTTGTCAGCTGGCTCTGTACTTCTATTAGGCTGGTTCCTTCACCATTTCCAAAGAGGTTCTGGAGACCTTGCAGGAACAGGAAGAGCACCTTAGCCAAGAGGATTCCAGGCCTCCTGCCTCTGCCTGGGTTCTCCTTGTTAGGTTCCCAAGTAATAAACTGAGTTCCCATTGGCAGTATTTGCAGGTATTGCTGGTCCACAGCAACATCTGTTTTAGGGGTTTTCTGGGTACAGCCGTGAAGAGAAAGTGAGGATTTTCCACATGATCCGGGATTCCTTGGCAATGCCCAAAGGCTTTCTGGGCCTTCTAAGAGCAACAATGGATCAGGCTGGTAACCCCCATCAACACTCAGAAAAGCAGCATGGGTATTTTATATTGGGGGCAGAGAGGAGATAAATCAATGGACTGACAGTCTTTATCTTAGTACCATAAATAAAGTGCACCATGAATGGAGGCTATAAGCCACTCTCCTGAGGCTGAGGTATGGATAGAAACTTCCATCACCACCCTCAGGGTGGCAGATCATTTCCTTCAGCCAGGATACTGGCTGCTAAGACTGTCGTTATTGCTTTATTTCCTTAGTACTATGGGACTTTTTAGCTATAAAGGAAAAAGAAATACTTAGTGGGCTTGGCAGACAGCATGTCACAAAATCACAGGAACTGGCTGATATTCGATGACTATACATGACGATCTCAATAATGATGGATGATGGCTGTTTTTCCCCTTCATTCTGATGAACTTAGGAAAACTCAAGTTGTTTTGAAAACACCTATCGAATTGGCTCATGATGCTTCAGAAGAAGCAGGAAAGCTGTTTATGGCCGATGTAGTAGAAATGGTTGTCTTTGTTTACAAGTTTTCAGATGGATTGTGGAAGAAAATCCTCTTATTATCACATTTCAGGAGACTTTACTGTGACATATTGGTGGGTTACATCAACTTCTCGGAAGCTCTTCAAGAGTGTGAGAGGAAAAGCATGATGTTGCACAAAGAACTCTGCTCCACGTAGGATTCTGTGGCAAGAGTACTATTTTGCTGCTTTCATGTAGGAAGGTATTGCCCCCCTTGCAGTCAGACCCTCAAAGCGCTTGTATGTGTAATTGATGAAGACCCAGTCTTTGTTCTTGTAGTCAGTCTCAGGGTGATTACTTGTGGCCACTGGGAAAGAAATAGATGTGAGAGTTGATTCACTGCCTTACCTCCAATGGACTATTCACGGTGCTGAAGACAGCGCTCAGAAGATCATACCAGTTTCTAATTGGGAAAGCTTATTTTTCACTCTACAAATTTTTTACATTTTCTTGCTCAGGTTCTTTAAATCTTGTATTCCTTCACGAGTATTTTTAATGTTTTATTTTCCCATTCCTGACATTTCAGATTATCTAACACTTAGTAAATAACAAAAGAACAGATTTTTGTGACTTACCCACCCAGTGGAGCAGTCTAAACATGGGAGCTGATATTGATTTTCCATTCACCAACGTTTCACCACTACCCAGCACTAGAACTGGAAAAGTACTTACAAAGAACCTGAAGAACTGAAGTTTCTCTCCATGTTCAATACCCTGATTTGTAAGCATCATCCCAAAACTGGGGGTAAATAATGTGCTTATAAGGCAGCAGGAGACAATGGTGGTGGTGTTACCTGTTGGCTTAAGAATATCAGATTCTGGAAACTCATCGAAGTTTGAGGTATCATCAATGCTTTTGATTTCAATAGATATTGCAGCAGGTCTCTCTCTGCCAAGGATATACATGCCAAAAATTACTAAGTTAGTAATCATATGGATCATGCCAATCAAGTTTTTCTCCAAAAAAGACCCCTGGTCTGACATGATCAGGCTATTCACTGGCAGGCAGCATTTATTTTCTCTGAAAAACTTACAAACACTGACCAACCAAGCCAACTGACTGGATCCAAACAAAATAAATTATGATTTAAAAAAAAAAAAAAACTCAATCATTCATAGCTAGAAAGAAAGATAACAATAATTAAAACCTGAAGTTAATGAAACTCCCCGCAATGGCCTGTCCTGTTTACTAAAAAGGGAAACTGAACCTCTAAGTGTCCCCTTGTGCAGTGTTCTGCCCTTCTCTCACTAGAGGTGCCAACAAGCAGGATGGCTAAAAAAGTGGCAAAGGAAAAAAAAAAAATCATAAGAAGCAAATCAGAACACAATTATAAATAAATTAAAACTTCTTCACCTTCTATTTAATAACCAGGGAATGCTGAATCAGAAGGTCTGGACTATCACAGGCGGTCCATGCTGCTGGCTGTAGTCTACCACCCCCACCATAACAATTTTCACTTTCCCCTTCCCTCTCTACCTCCACCCCTCCAATCTTTCCTCCACACCTTTCTCCCTTCTTTATGTCCCTGTGATACCCTTCACCCTTTCGGTAGGAACAGTCCCACTGGTGGGATGTAAGAGGTTGCTGAGTTCGAGGTAAAGGGTAACATACTTCCTAGATGCTCCCTCCACCACGGAAACCAAAGCTCACTTCGCTTTGTAAATAACTGCAAGATTCAATGTTTTCTATGACACACGCTGACAAAAAAGCCAACGCCCAACCTTCAACATGAATGAAAATCAGGGGAAGATCCTAAATCTCTAAGAAGCTCTCTGTCCTTACTTGGCTTGCCAATGATGATCCTTCCAAATTATTAGTAAGTGAACTACATACTTTCTGAAATAATTCTGAAAGTTTTTATATGGATATACCTGATATGTTCCCAGTCAACGCCTTCAAAAAAAGAGTTATTTTTGATTTCCTCAACTCCAGGAGCTCCAATTCTATGTTCCCATTCACAGCAGAATCTGGAAAAGACAGAGGTCTTTCAGCACACCTCAAGTAGTCTCTTCAGAAAAAGAAAAGGAATAACTTTTTTTTTTGAGACAGGATCTCACTCTGTCACCCAGGCTGGAGTCCAGTAGCACAATCATGGCTCACTGCAGCCTCAACCTCCTGGGCTCAAGTGATCCTCCCATCTCAGCCTCCCAAGCTGGGACCACAGGTTCCATCACGCTGGGCCAATTTTTTTTTTTTTTTTTTTTAGAGGTAGGGATTTGCTGTGTTGTCCAGGCTGGTCTCAAGCTCCTGGGCTCAAGTGATCCCCCTGCCTCAGCCTCCCAAAGTGCTGAGATTATAGGCGTGAGCCACCATTCCCAGCCTTTTTATTCTTTTAAAGAGGAATAAGAGGAAACAGAAGGCAGATTCAGGAGATAACAAAAGTTTTTAAAAAATGGAATCATTCCTATTAAAAAGCTGGGAAAGAAGATGAAGGGATGTTCTCTAATACCTCAAAATTAGATCCTTGGCTTTCTCAGAGATGGGAACTTCTGGAGGAAAAGTCAAAGTTTCTTTCCAGTTCATCACCTTCTTATATGTCTCTTGAGGGGTCTCAGAACAGAAAGGTGGGTAGCCTGCAATAAAAAAGGAGCTTCGGAGCTTTTACACCCCAGAACTTTGAATCTGACTGAGATTA